AAGAGATGCCTTTGTTAGATGGTGGAACTATTTAGCTACCTGCAGCAAATAAGACAGATGTAGTATTTTAAAGGAGCTTATGTGCAAGAAGTGATTTCTGAAGATGATACCATTAGGTACAGCTATGCTTGAATTAAGAAAACCATGATGTTCGAAATTCTGCTTTGAACGCAAATGTCATAAGCACACAGATTAAAATGTTTTGTTCCAACGCACCTGACAGAGCAGCGTTCCACTTAGGATAAAAGCTTCAGCCTATCTCCAGTTGTGTGATGTTCTGGGCACCACGTTACTCAACTGCTTATAAAGCACCCAGGAAAACAGATGTCAGAGTATGCAAATTTGATCCTAAATATCTACCGACACATCTCACTGTGCAGTAATAACGCATCTGATTTAATACTGAGGAATTAAAATCTCAGAGACACACAGCAAACAAAATGCTGCAATGAACTGGAAGATAAGGAGCTCAGGTTTTTGTAATGTAATAGCAGAAGACATGATATTCTGCTGGTTTTGTCAGAGCAAGAACCCAGGGTCTGTTCTCAAAGGCTATTTAAGGAGGCAATTCACATTTACACTTTACTGTAAAAGACCCTGGTTTCCCAGAATTCACATCTATGAATTTATTGAGATATTTCCTCAAGGAAACACAGATTTTTACCTAAGGCAGGAGGATGTCGGAAAGGAGGCGAGAGGTTTCATTCACCTGAGTTATGCTTAGCTGTTATCTTGTTCCATGGCAATCCGACAATGGTTTGATGAAACTATTTGCAATGTCGTGACAAATTTTGGAATATTTGGATCAAAAAGTAGATTTGAAGAGTAGCTTTTGAAAAAGTAAAATTTTACTTTACCATTTTTAAACAAATGGTGCTTATTTTTTATTTCGCTTTTCCCTCCAAATCCAGGTTAGTGGTTTGGAAGGTCAAAAAAAAACCCAAACAAAAATAACTTGTCATGCAAAATTAAATAGCGGTTTTATTTTCCCAACCAGCTTGCAAACCTAAAATGTGTGGTACGAACCTAAAACTGATCAGCATAGCCCTGGTATGAGAATAAGCTCGTGTTCTGCCCCATGTTACCCATTCAGTTTGAATGCTGGAGCTCATTTCATTCTGAAAATCCAGGCTCAGGTCTGTCCTGCCTTCTATGTGCTGGACTCATGAAGAGTGGGACGCTCTCAGGGGAGTGCATGGAAGTGCATGAAACAAATTTAAATCAAATGTTTTGTGACAAGTCATCTTTCCAATGCAGGAAATCTCCTCTTTTGTGAACCATCATCTCCTTGGCTTCTCCTTTTGGCTCTGGCTGTGACCAGCAGAGAACATCACTAGCAAATGATCAATGCAGAGCAGCTCAAAAATGTTTAACCAGTGAGAGTCAGTAGCGTAGGCCAATATGTTTTTAGAGCTACAGGCTCAAATCCATGAGACCTACACCCAAGATACTGGCAATATGTCACTGCCACATAGTGAAAAGTGGCACTAACAATGTGCAATACGCGGATAGGGAGAGGAACAACATCACAGGCACTTAGAGAAAAGAAAAGTGAATACCCTCTTGGCTAACAACATGAAAGGCACAGGAAAAAATGTCCACACTGCCAACAAGGAAAAAGTTATGAAGGATTTCATTTGCACGACCCTGAAGACCTTAATGAAGAAAAAAAAAAGGAAAAGGGAAAAAAAGGAAAGGGAAAGGGAAAGGAAGATACCCATAAAACAGCACTCTCTGCCACAGTCTAAAATGGAAAATGGTGAAAAATTGCACTGGTCCACAGTTGGATGGGTTTCCCTTATTTCTGCATAAATCAAGCATTCACACCAAGTTCTTTGCAGATATGAAGGGATTTGGGATAGTCCACAGAAAGTACGGAATGGAGAGCAAGTCCTAAACCATCATGCTTTTGCAGGTATGCAAGGCTTCATACGCAGTGAGTTCCCAGCGCCAGTCACCAGGCAGCACATTTTGAGAAACCAGTTCTTTTTTCCTATGAAGCGCCATACCAGTAGAGAATGCCTGGCTGAAATTTTATAATGAACTTTTGTTTCCAGCTGGCATAAAAGATCCTCTATACTCTCTCCTCCGCGCTCCTCTACGGCAGTTACTGCTCTACCAGGTGACTTCGGCACATGAGAGGAATAGGAATATGCTGACTACACTGGGGGAGAGTTGCCAGCCAAGTCTGGTACACAAAACCAATGATTTCTTTAAGTCTTATGCTGCAGTTTGCAGAAGGTGAAAAAAGATATTGTCACCTCTGTTATAGACTCAATAAATATCTAGACCACAACAAGGGACTGGCTGATGAGCCTAGTTCATTTCTGCTCACCATCAGATTTCCTTGCTGTCAGGAATTTCCAAGGTTATTTTGACAACAAAAGTTGCTTGGATTCAGACCAAGTTGTCTACATCTGTGATTGCAAAGCAGTATCTTGGGATGACAGATGTTTAGCTATTTTGGCTTGCTTTTCAGCTAGTGTTGCTCAGTGAACTTCTGGAGGCACTGCAGGAGCTGAAACCTGCACGTTGGGCACCTGCAACTCTGTCTCATGAGCTGGCAACGGAGCTCAGGAGTCTTTTGAAGTGGGTACCACGGGGAGGTCATGACTTTCTTTAAGAAAACAACTGCAAAGCATCTGCTCAAAACCCAATCTTTCAAGGTAAATCCTGCCAAAGGCAGATATATTTTGATCCTTCTTTTCTTCAGCCTGAATTGTCCAGGCTTTTGCAGCAATGCAAATCTGGTGATATCCAGAGACCTGAGATTTTGACCCCAAGTTTTATATATATATATATATATACGTGTGTGTGTGTGTGTACATATATCTATCTTCTGTTAGCTTCACTGACGTCCACATTTAAATTGTAAATGTATGATGACATGAACTGCCCTTTGCCAGGGTTAAAGAAGTTTCTTTAGTGTTGCTTTACTTCTGTTTTTAGGATGTTACAAAGGGCTTATGCGGTGAATCCATGCTGCCCAAGGGAGGCCATAACGTTCTACTGCACTGCCCTATAGATACCAGCTATGGTGCCATAGGAAAGGTAAAGCAGACCAGTATGATGATCAAACCCCACCTCTGCTTTCTAGAGTACCTAGTACAGGAGACAACTCATGACCAGTGAGAAAAGAAGGGGCTTCTTTGCATTCTCCATCCCCAACAATCTATACAGATCCAAGGCTGGTGCCATTAATCTTGCTACAAGGCAACTGCTAATTAGCAAAGATTTTAAAAATTGCAATATATTCTTTTGCTGGATTTTAACGATTTTTTAACCAATAAAAAATAAACTTACCATTTTGGTTTCTTAATTTATCATATTTAATTCTGTATGTTTCTGAAAGTTTATCTTTATTTCCAGAGAAATAGTCATGTACGTGGTGTTGGTCTATACCGTGCTCAAAATATTTCTATATTAAACTTGCACATATATGCCAAGCTCTGGTCAAATGTCTCTCAGGAGAACCAAAGATCTAAATGCTTGGAATAAGTTTTAATTAAGTATGGAAACTTCCAAGAATGAAAAGAAAAATCCTTCTAAATACAGACATCTTAAACATCTTGCAAAAAAACAAGCAATGCCCCAAGCCTGAAGCAAAGGCTAGCCATACGGAAGAAATTGTCCAGACTTCTTGCATTTTCTGGCTTAGTTCAGGAAACCTCTAGGCTTTACTACATAAAGCAAAACTTCCCTATAAAAGATTAACTCCTAAAATATTCAACTGAAAACAGATTCTAGGAACAGATGGATCTAAAACTCTGTATTGTATTGTATAACCTCTGCAGGAGCTGGGCTGGAAGCTAGATAAGAATTAAAAAATCTTATATTTGGGCCTCTTTCCTCCTTTTCTCCTGGTCTATCAATCCATCTGGCTTATTTTACCAATCTCCCAGTTACTTAATGAGTTATTAATTAGAGGAGTATATGTGGTGAGAAAATCAGTCAGCCGAACTAATAACAGACCGAGGTAACAGTGACAACTAACAGCGACCAATGCAGTACTCAAAGAGACAGTAGGGTGCATCTCTGCTCCATGCTCCAAGGATGCAACACTTCGCACTATCTTTCTTTGGCTTCCCAAACATGTTTCATAGTTAGAACACAGGCCAGTGCGTTGACAGCTAGATAGCCTAAGTCTAATCTGGATAATTCCAAAACAGTGGCAAGAATCAGATTCTTGTGACCTGGCACACAGTAAAATAACACGCTTGGCCACCACGTGGGGAAAGAATGCCAAACACAATTGTTAAACACTTAATGAAAACAAATACAACTCTAAGGGGTATAAGGAGTTGTTTGCTTCATCTTTTTTTTAATTTCTTTACCGTGAATAATTTTATTTCTTTGCTTCTTACTTTCTATGTTAACTATTAAAATCAGGAATCCTCAAGCTGCACCCTTGAAAAATATTAACTCAGTAAGTGTACCTAGAAAAACAAACAAGCAAGCAAACACATACCAAAACAAGACACTATCTTGCACAAGCGGTTCTAACCCTAAAGAGGGAATGAGGGAACGGATGGTGTGTGTCAGAGATAAGTTGTACCACTGCATCTGAGGGCCACATTAAAATGCAGCTCATGAGGGCAATTTAAACACCAGGAATTGTGACAGTCACATGCATGTAATGTAGTAACATGTGAGTCAAGGAATAATGATATTTGAAGAAACGGGTCTTTAATATGAAGGCTGTTTGTAACAGGCATTTCCAAGGTAGATGATGATAGCACCTGAACAGAAGAAAACCCCACTGTAGTATTCTGCAGGTTGTGTTTTAGCTGTTAAAGCACAGGCAGATGGACAGACGTCCCACATTTCTAGCAGGTGGGTGAGTATCATTACCATTGTCATAGAAATGGCAGAGGAAAGGGGAAAAGCTAAAAGGGCAAGTAATAAAATACATCGGAGAGAAATCAGCTCCCCTGCTCTGACTTCTGGATGGCCCCTGCTCTTAAGGAATAATACACTGAAAAGTATCAAATGCTGCTTACCTTTCAATTTCTCAGCCAGCAAAGCAGCTTCGTGTTCAGAATAATGCATTATTGCCGGAGGAGAAGGAGGGCGCAGTCTGTCTTCTTCCATTTTGCGTCTGTGGCGTTCTTCCCTGGCCAGCATTCTTTGTTTGCATTCCCATTCATAAAAGTCATCTCTTGCCTGAGCAAAATCAACATGAAGGCGACCTGAATCCTTTTTGTCTGTGCTAGATCCTAATCTCATGCGGTAACCTGAAATCAACAAGCAGAACTAACTGTTGCAGCACTTCTTTGCTTATTTTTTTCTTTTTTTTTTTTTTTTTCCTCTCAAGTGCAGCTAAGTAAAAACGTACATTAACAGATTCCCACATATCTATGCAGGATTTATCGATCATTGTGTTCTCATCAGGAAGATGAACATTCATGCACTCATTTTTCCTCGCAATTTTCTGCATCACCTATCAACATAGCAGATGAGCTGAAAAGTCGACCCAAAGGTACAGAATCTACATTCCTGTTTAGAAGTCTCTAAAATATGTAATTTTTCTACTTGATAATCCCAACCTTTTTAAGTGCAAGGGCCAGCTAAACAAAAAACAACTACTAAAAAAGGATCTGGTTTGGTCTGAATGTGGAGTCCTGCTTCCCCTGATCCCATTGAGATCACGTACAGTTAGTTTAGTGCCCTCCTCCAGCCTACCAAAGGAACTGGAAGTATGGGGAAAGGCTGAATTTTATAAAAATCATGACTACCGACAAATGAGAAAATTGTGTTACATAGAGTCCTGTGCCACAAAAAGGGTGGTGTCATAACTGCATTGATGCTAGATCTCAAAATTTTGAGGCTTTACAATTGCAAACACTACTTCCCAATTCCCCACTGGAAATAATCTGGCAGCAAATATAAACCACCTACAAATGAATTGAGTTCAGCATTCTTTAAAGTCATTTTAAAAGTGTGGATGGATTTATTAGACATTTGCAAGACCCCTTTCAGAACAAATAAGGAAACCTGTTGTGCCTCATCTTTACCGATGTCCTACATACTCATAACTTGGTCGATGTATCACATGCGAAAGCTGGCAGACTGCAAAGGCTTTAAGTCAGGGGCTACACAGCACTGCAACAGGGCCCTGCCCTGAACTAAAACCCTTGACTGCTGTCAAACAAATCATGCCAAAGCTATAAAAAGAGCTTTTTCTGACCATACTGTGGAAGGACATATGCTGGGCACCTATGTTTTCCAAGTTTTATTTCCAAGGCGAAAGATACTCGCAGTGCAGTTTCTCTAACTTTTAAAATGCCGACTCAGAGGTAAGTGTGAGAAAATACTACATAGAAATCTGCAAGCAGAGCCTTCAGATGCAGGTAAAATTAATCAGTCTGCACAGGGCTAGCTCTAATTTCTCCACGCCAACACGCTGCAGTAGCCTCCAAAGTAGAGCAGCCCAGCAGAGACTTCTTCAGAAACAACACACAGTACTGCAATCACTGCATAATAACTCCAGGGATAGGAAACTCCTGTTCAAAATGGCAGGAAAAATGGTGTTTGCTGCTTTTGAGCAGCAACCCAAGAGAACCTACCTTTCCGTCTTGTGGTTTGCTTGTGGTTTGAAGAGCTTCAGCACCTCACCACCAGTTAAAACCCAGTTTTGAACTCTCTTCAGTGGCAGCAAAGCTAAGACTTGTGTAGTAGATTAGGAGCATCTTTGTGAAAAATGCATATCTAGGCATACTCTGTTTTACTGCTGGAAAAACATCCTGATGTATGAATATAAGGGACTGTCTGTACTGCAGCACATATGAGACAATTGCTTCCAAGACATTAAATATTCATATATGTAGTGATCCTTCCAAAAAAAGCAATCCTGGTGCCTTTTGATTTGACATTTTCCTTTCAAACATCTTGTGGAGTTCAGCTAAGTAGCCTGTGAGTGAGGAAGAGGTATGACTTTCATTTTCCAGCAAGGAGCCCTAACCAAACTCGAACTAAGTGTTTTAGAGCCAGAAGGCATCAAATCTTCCATGGAACCTACCAAATGTGGTCTCCAAGGCTCATGAGCTTGGGGTGAAGTAGAACAGAATATTGCAAAAGAGGCAAATGAGGGGGTTGTTTGGTATTTTAAAGCTCCCTTTCTCTTGCTCAGAGGAGTAAACACTACTTTTCCCCCCAGCAGGCTCTTTATGGTCATATAGGTAGCTCTAGTCACAAGGTGTTGAAGGGAAGAGTTACAGATACACCATATTCAGGGAGGCGTAACAGAAGAAGAGTGTGGGTGACCTTTCAGAGCTGAGCCCTGAACTAATGTGGGGGGTAATTATGTGGTTTGATCCACAGAGGTGTAGGCACAAAGGGGTCAGCCAAAAGGGGTCAGTGGTGCAGCTACCCTGATAACCGTGACAAACGTTAACAACCCCCGCCAAGTTCTCCTCACCAGCTGCATTCCTCAAACAGCGATTGCTCTGGGCCAAAACGGCACTATCAGCAATGCGAAAGGACACTGCCAAGGTGCCAGGTCTCGTGAACCTAAAATTAGATCTCCCAGCTGGGCTGTAGTTTCCAGGAAGACACAATCTCTGTTCCTCTCCCCACCCCGTCTTTCGCCTCCGTTGGGCATGGACGGAGCGAGAAACACGGCACTGCAGGACGCAAGACTCTTGTGGACCTCAAAGCCCCACTTAATCTGAATAAAGAACTAATGAAAAGGACTGTGCATCTACAGGTTGCGTATGCACCAGCAAAGTTGAGTTTTATTAAAGTGGCCTTCATTTTTGAAGTAAATGGGGATAATGGAAAAAAAACCAACCAAACCATTGAACAGTGTAAATTGCAGTTCAAAACCCAGTACCCTGCGTAGCACTGGACAAATGGTTCCCTTTAGGTAACCAGCTTAAGCGCCTCCAAATTAGCAGATTTTTGAAATTGCCCATGAATCACACTGAAAAAAAAAATCTCACTGCTTGTTTAACTCGTAAAACCGAAGATGGCCAGCCAGCCAGGTGGTTTCCACCAGCACAGAAACCTAGAATAACCTGGGTCGGAAGGGACCTTGGATGTCACCTAGCCCAATTCCCCTCTCAGAGCAGGGTCAGCTTCAAAGTCAGATCAGGTTGCCTTGGGCTGGGCATCTCTGCCTTAATAAAAAAGCAAACGCCTTTGGCACGGCTTCTTGCACCCTCCTGAATCAGGTTTTGAGGACACTACAGGACCAATGGTCTCGCCAGTGAAGAAGAGACTCCTTGACAGGTTGATAGAGCAAGACGCTGTGTAGCAAGGAGTGCACAACTGGGGGGGGTCCTATTTCTATATGGGATCCTCAGGTACCCGTTTGGGATGGCAACTTTGAACTGTGGAGCAGCTGGGAAGCTCGCTCTTTTCCAATACCGTGTCTCCTTATTGATGTTCGAGGGTATTTGAATATATGAGAGAATCACCTGCCACTGCCTCCTCTTCAGGCACGGGCAATAAATTGCCCTTACAGACCCTTTTCTCCATCTCTTTGCTCAGGCCTGCCACTAGCACTAACTGCGTGCCTGGCTTGTGATTTTTAATTTCAGTTCCACACACAATGGCAGAAGAAAAGACTTTGGGAACTTGCCAAGTTCCTCACTTTAAAGGAGCAGCAACAGGAAAAATTAATGAGGGTGCTAAATAGAAATCAAAGACAGTATTTCCACATCACAGGTCTAGTCAAAACTCTGTGGCTTGACTTACCTTTGAGTGTTGCTATATTGGGGACTGGCCAATACCTGCTCTCTAACTGGGGATCTAGATCAGCGAGAACATAAAATAAAACCAGTACACGGTACTAAATGGAAACCCACAGGGGACAGTATCAGCACAGGAAAAATGCATACAGAGGTTTTTGGGGTATAAACAGTTCTGTCTCAAGCCACCTGTTTTGTCCCATATTTTCAAGTTCAGGGCCATCAATATTTGCAGGAGTTACTGAACTGTCAGCCACAAGAGTAAAGTACATACAGTTTGGAGAAAGAGCTTTCTCATGGGCTTGTATGTCATTTTAGAAAGTCTTTTCCTCAGGACATCAAAATGTAACTTTCAGGGCTAAAGGAAAATTGCCCTTCCTCAAGTCAACTTTTTTATCATAGTCTTCTACCCAGCTCCAAGTCTCCTTTTCATACACGTTTACTTGGGAATAGAAAGGAAAAAAAAAAATCAGTGATTAAACTACTTGATGGATTTTGTAATCACTTGCACTCTTTTGATGATAAGCATGGGATAAATACAAAGTTTGATGAGATTAGATGGGGTAGACAGATAAAACTGATTAGGTAGACAAAATTATCATTATATTACAGATATCAAAGGCATGACTTTCCCCTAATATAATACGCATACTATATCAACCACAAATTCCATTTGTACATCTCTTTTGTCTCTTACAGGGAAAAGAAAATGCCTTAACGATATGCTTTAACCCCACCATTTCAGAATACATTATGTCTGAGAATGGAATAAAGACTGGTTAACCCCCACCAATATTTGAGTACAAATAAAACCTGCCCCTGCTCTGGGAGGTGGGGGACAGTCAGTGCTCCCTGTTTCATCTGCAGAATTCAGCGTTGGTGGACAAAATTGCAGCTTGGCTGCAGCGTGCCCCTGCTTTTCTTCCTCCTCCCTATCGGCTCCACTTGTTCTTTCCCTGATCTGGTCACACACACTAAGTACAACACTTGAGAAGAAAGAAAAGGTGTGAAGGAAAAGACAGATGGGGAGGGAGGCGGCAGAGCAGACGGTAAGAGGAAGCGTAGACAACAGTGCGACTGTGAAAAAGGAAACGGAAGAAGGAAGGATGGATCAGGAACTCGGAAATCAACTGGCAGAAAATTCAGGATGAGGAAGGATGAGGAAAGGAATGTGCCACCTCCATCTCTGCTCATTTCCCTTATTCTGAATAGGTACTCCAGTGCGTTATGAGCGAGGACGCATGGCAGCGCAGGGAACTTCCTACCTCTAATCATCAAATCTGGTCCTCCAGGATTTAAGGCATATAAAATTAAAATAAAACTTGACTTGGAGTGAAGCAATGGGTGCAGTCAACTGCCAAGAAGCAGGGAACTGAGCTAGAGGGACACTGGCTCTGGGCTAGGGTGGCAACCTGTACATTTCTGAGCTTTTCTTTCCTCTCTTTCTTGCCACTGTTTTGTTTATCATATACAGTAATACCAGTTCCTACTGAATCTGGGGTGCCCCTCCTCTGCTCCGTTACTGGTGGAGATGTAGACAGAAGTTGGAAGCTGGGAAATGTGCTGGGAATTGTGCTACTGCGATGCCCGTAATCTGAACTACAGCGTTGTGGAAGTAATGTGAATAAACAAATCAACAGGAAGGATGGAAACTGGGAAGAGAGGATGAGGAGGGGAAAAAAAAAAGGGAAGAAAAAACCAGGGTGGAATGAAGATCTGGAAGAAACCTGAAAATACAGCAATATTTCAAAGAAATCTTTATATAGACCTCATAAACCTCACAATTTTTGTAGCTCTTCAAGCAGATATTTAAAGCAAGCAGCCAAGTTAGAAATGCCCCAACCCCAACCCCCAAATCCCTTGTGAAACAAAGGACCTGGGTTTTTCCTGACCACATATTTCAGAAGTTCAGATGTTTCCTTTTATTTCTCTCTTTCACTTTAAGATGTAGTTGATGGTGATTTGAGAGGCCACTTGTTTCTAGCTGTGTCAGCTCCCTATGGACACCTACAGGACTTTGAGGTTATGGCCTTACCGCTAAACAGAAGATGGTCAGGGTGGGAGCTCAAACAAGGTATCCCTAATCGTGAGCTGCCCCCCAGGATCCATTTTGGATGGTCCCAGTGGGTCCCTTCGAGGTCACCCTACACAGGGGGGGTGGCTGTAAGCCAGCCTGCGTCAGCTCGTCTTGGCCAAGGAGCAGTCCCTGGCCCTTGTTTATTTAAGAATACCTTTCATGTGGGGTGAAAGTGTTACACTACACTTGTGGGGCAAAACAAAGCTTGGGGGTCTCCCCAGGGCCCAGAAAGAGAGAAGAACCAGCCTGTGGAGACAAGTACACACAGGGGATGGGATCCAGCTCAGAAAAGTGATGAAGGGCTCAGTTAGGAAGCCAATCCTCATACGAAGGAGCCTGTAACCTTACGAGGGCACTGACAGTCACTGAAGCCTGATATGTGAAAGCAGAATTGTTTTTCATCTTTTTTTCTTCTTTCTTTTTTTCTTTTTTTTTTTTTTTCCCTGTGAGTTAAAGGGTTTGGGTTTTTTTGTCTGTGCCTTTGTTGGAAAATAAAAGAGATTCTGAAATTTTACACCTGAGTTTCTGTGGCACTCGTTGTCCTGGGAGGCAACAGACGCAGCCTACAGATGGGGCTCAGAATCTAACCCGTGCGGTAGCTGAATACATGCACGCATAATGGCAGACTTTATTCAGACTGCACTGCAAATCTATAAAAATATGCCAATGAAATTGCCAGCCTATCAGAGAAATTGGCACTGGAAAACAGCAGCGTTCCTGGCCTAGTGCCCTCTTCTTTCCACAACCTGTAAGCAAAACTATATAAACCTGTGTAAATCGAAAATAAGATTGGGCTGTAGTGAATTTCAGGATCTGTTGCATTGTTGTGGGATGGCAGGAAATTGCTCCCGGGTAAGCAACATACAAAACCACGCACAAGTCTTGGCAGACACAAATACAGAATTGCCCCTTGCCACTCCAAGCTACAGCCACAGAGCTCACGTAAGACTTGCTGAGATAAAAGCTAAGAAAATAAGCGAACATTAGCATCACAAAATACAAATGAGAAGCAAGGAAAATCCATTAAAGAATGTGAAGTACCAGAAAGGTAAATGGCTTTATCAACCATGAACTCCTCTGCAAAACGAATGTGACAAAAATTCTTCTTGCTTTTCCGAATTGCTGTTATATCTCCACACTGCTCAAAGACTTCCTGAATAATTTCCTCCGTTGCGTTTTCTGGTAATCCTCCAACAAACACTGTTTTACACCCAGGAGGTCTCTCTCTTGTTGAAGGTGGTGGAAGATCTAAGTCAAAACAGAAATCACATTGGAATACAAAATTTGTCTTTTGATCCATTGGCTCTATTCATTCCCCTAATCAGTTCTGGGCAGCAACAGTGATTTGACATAGCACGGAGGCGGGAGAGAGTGAGAAGCAAAATAACGGAATATTGCAGAGATTGTCCAAAACTGATTACTTAAATCTAAACCTTTTCAAGTTTTAGGTGGCGTTTCAGAGATTAATCCCTGCCACTGTGGGTTGTTCTCCAGGACACACGGTAAGGTCTAAAAGGATCTTTCTTTTCCCTGCATAGCAACACAAAAAAAATAGAAAATATTCTGTTTCAAAGCAGGGGAGCTTCTGCAACTGACTTGACCCCGAGCACAGATCTCAAGCACTGGCGTGGTACGTTCAAAGCCTGAACTTCGCCATCCCTGGCTCATACCCATCACTCGCCACACTCGTCGAGTGCGTGGGCCCTCTGCAAGCAAGCCCATGCTGCGTACAGCCTGGGCACTCGATTTCCCTGGCCTTAGCATAATTTCATTTCTGTCTCAGGGTACAGGAGCACAGCAAACAGAAAAACAAAGTGGGAAACACGAAGAAGTGACAGCATGATGAAAACGCTCTGCCGGTTATCTGTTTTGTCTTGTTGCCAGATAATGGAGCGGACGCCAGCACACGGGAAGGATAACCTCGCTGTTTACAAGTGCTCATGAGGTGGAGTGGCTAGAAATGTTATTTTTATGTATATATAGAGAGGATATATACACACTTAAATCAGAAAACTATTAAATTGTTGAAGGCTGTATAAAAAATATACTCTGTCATAACACTTCACCTTGTTTATATGTAGATTACTACAGCATTCCTCTAGAAGTAATTCTCTAAGAAGGACTCTGATTGATATGACTTAGGTTTTTGGCCCTTTAACACAGTAAATGGGGTTACAACCTTAAAATATACATGTATATATACACATGCACACACAGAGCCAGTTTGATAAAACCATGATCTGGGGAAACTGCAAACCCAGAGCACCAGACTATTTGCTTAATTTTCTCTTTTGTCTTCACAGTGAGAGTGAAAGCCGCTGGTCTGATGGCTCTGAAACTAAACTCCTGGGGCTAACATACACAAAATCAGGCTTTGTGCCTGAGCTGGTGGCTCAGTGGGACGAGTCTTCCATTTGCACAACGTCCCAGAAGGGGCAGAAGGAAGCTTGGTCCCCGCTCTCAAAGAGAAGGAACCCATCTGCCATGCTGCCCCCGAAAAATGGCAAAAGAGGAGCCGTAGCCCCCCTTTCCCTCCCTCTCCCCCAGGGAGGGACCAGAGTTTGTCAGCGTTTGGGTACAAGGTGCTGCGCTCAGGGACACAAGTCCAGCTTGGTCCCATCTACCTGCGGGCACCTGAAGGGGAGCATGGAGATGATCAGCATGTATAATCATTATATTTTGTGACATTCTGAGCTACAGGAAAGATTTTTATTATGAGAACTGTAAATCTTCAGACTCTGTTACTTCTAAGTAATTATTTTTCTTTTTTGTACAAACTGTGTAGGTTTTTTTACATGACCTTACAGAGATGAGTAAGTATGCTCTGATACCATACCACACTTTACACACAGAGTAGACCTTAGAAGGAGACACCATACTTGCCTACACTCTATTTAAAAACCCTAATTTTTATTAGATAAAAAAATATTTCATGCAATATATTTAGGAAAATAACGTTCTTTCATCAGATCCACTTACTTGGGTTTGGAGGGAAGAGCGTGCAGCTTTTGCAGTGAATTATTTCTTTGACTACAGGCACATCTGTCGGTGGTGGTGGCGGCACTAACCCCATGCCTGGTATCATTGGGTTAATCGGAGTGATTCCAGTCATCATGCTAAGGCTTGGATCAAAGCCTGGTACACAGATTGAATCTGTAAATATAAACCATAAAATCCTGGCTTATAAATCTTGAAACTACTTGTTACTATTTTTTTGCACAGACAGTTTTGCTTTAGGCTTTTTTTTTTTTTTCCCAAGCATCACTGTTAAAAAAAGGAGAAGGGAAAAGGAAAAATGGAAAAGGGAAAAGGCAGAGAGATAGGGAGGAGAGAAGGAGAGGGAGAGGGAGACGGAGAGGGAGAGGGAGAGGGAGGTGCATTTTCCGTGGGAAAAAAAAATGCCTAAAGAAGGGAACGTTACATAATTTAAAATATTAATATGACTGAGTAAAACACAGCACATTAAAGTCTAAAACCATGCACCATGAATATCTGTTATTATCTGGAATGCAGTTTTCTGTTTCATAATGCTACTGTGGTGTTTACATTGCCTTCTGACCAGAGTGTACAAAGAATATAATTTAACATCGATATGCCCTCTTCATCTAATTGTCAGATTTATCACAACATAGCCTTCTCACATAAGTGACCTTGATTTACGAACAGTACCGAGAAAGATCCATTTCTGGCTGTTTTATAGAAGTGTAGTTAGCCAAGACTTCCAACCATTTTACCCTGGAATATAAAGTTTCAGCTGCATAGAATGGGGTCTTTTTGCACCTTGGAATTAATTCTTTCTTGTCCTGTTACTTAATTGGATTAGTAGACTCTTTTCAACACATGTATTATTAAAATATACCACTACAGCCCCATAAAGCAAAATGCATATTTGGCAAACGTTTCTCTTTCTCCTTCCTGATCTCTTTGCCAAGACTTCCATACGTATTATTTAAAGCTGAAAGATTTACTGGGGAGCACCAGTGCTGTAACACCAAGAACTGTAATAAGCAGATGTTTCAGATGAACTGAGAGCCAACTTCTGAAATTTGCTTTCGTTAAAAACAAGGCTTTGGGTTTCTTGAGGCATAATGAATAAAATATTTTAAGAGACCAATCTCTTTGTTGGCATAACACTGCTGCTATTTGGCATCATCAATTATTTAAAAGGAGAGAGTTACTTTGGTGTTCTACAGGTTTTCTGCTGAGTTTTCTGGCTAGCAATGGGAAAGTATTTAATGATACATGTAAACGCGGGGTTTGGTAGCTCGGGAGTTTGTTTATTTTGAAGAAGCAAAGAGGGAAACAACTCCTTCTCTAGGATTTTTTATTTTTTTATATATATATTTAGGAAATTCGAGCTATGTTTGCTACAAGGCAGCATGATCAATGGAACATGACCAAAGGGGCCTGTTTCTTCATCCTAAATCTGCTTCATCCTAAATCTGTGACCCTGGGTCGGCCCACTGACCTTTCTGTATCTTAATTTCTGCATCTGCAAAACAGGTACAATAATACTCACTTACTGGTGAGTATTAGCTTACATTTTTATAGCACTTTGCAGGTGTAAAGCGCTCTGTGGGGGCTGAAAATTAGCATTATTATTCCTGTGAAACATCCATAATCATCTTCCCCGGGAAAGACAATTGAGGATTGAGAACCTCTACTCCAATACAGCCCGTATCTATTTCGGCCGCACGCTCCTTGCTCTCCACTCACTGACTGTGAGCCTTCATCATTTTCAGGCAGTTCTGTACAACAAGCGTAGCAAGCGCACAGCAAGCAAGGATTTGCTTTAGGCTTATTGAAGACTAGTATTAATGAAAACTCATGATATTACATTACTTTTTTTTAATAAGTGGGCTTATGAAAAAGGATTTGCTCTGGGTGTGATGGGGTTTTTTTTCAATATCGATGTATATGCATTGCTTTTCAGATTAAGGTTTGAAACTCGGAGCCTGTCATTTATTCCATGGGATGCAGTGGTGGCTGTATTAAATATTCATAGTTAGTGAATGCTGGGAGATAAAGTCAGAGGTGAAAGGGCAACATACAATTCAAAGAAGTCCTTAGGCTATGCTAATTTGCTTGATCTCTTTAAAAAAGAGATCCTGTGCAACACTCTCCTGCTGCAGGTGGAAGTCCATCATTACTACTCACTGCTAAAGCGGCCCGCAATGCTCCACGGCACGCAGAGCGGAGCACGACAAGGGCACCCAACGGTCCTCTGCTGGGATCAGGGAAAACTGGCGCTGGAAAGATGCCGATGGAGGCATCTCGTCCATCCCTCTGGACAAATGTAGGATCAGCTACAGCCCTAGCGAGATATGAAATTTCAGATTAAATCCAATAGCCGTAGCAGACCTACAGGTCTACTGAGGCATCCTGAGGCAAGGATGGAGCAGGTGGAAATGTACACGAAGATGGATGGAAGGCCAAGTTCTCCCTGTCCTGTGTGCATCTTTCAGGCCCCATGTGACAGCCAAGGGAAAAACATCGGCATCTGGCAACTGCTACAACAAGTTGCATTTAAACATTGCTGTTCTCTCTTTAAGACAACTGCCAGATACATTTCAGCTTCTCTACAGAAGTAGCAAACCGAAACAACAGCAAACTCTGCCCAAATCACAGACACATGCTCTCACCCAAAGCAAAGATGGCAGGTTTCAATAAGGTATGGTTTTCTGAATATTCCTTTGGCAGTGGTGCAGATACAGAGAAAAACAAGTCTAAGGGAGATGGCAACAAGGAAACTCATGTCCACAAACACTGCGAACATGGCCTTGAAAGGGAGCGGGGAGGGAGAGCTTTTAGGTTGCACGCCAATCAAAGCAGGGTTGTGATTTAAGCGGAAGAAAATTATTTCCCACTGATTGCTGCCATGTCCAAGGAAATGTGACTTTGTAGGTAACTTTGCCTGTGTTAAATAAGTACATGGCTTTGTCATCAGTTTCTTTTACAACTGGAATCAATCTATAAGAGCATGAGCAGAGCGCTGGGGGCCAACACTCACGAAACGTCCTTCTAGGTGTGCTGGGACTCCGTGCCTCCAGAAGGTGACTGTGCTGAGGTATATTGAAGAGGACTCAGTCAATAATTCTTGAAATCTAATTCCATATCTTGCAGGCACTAATCCAGACCCCACGAAGGTCAATTGCAAGACTACTGAAGGCACGAACAGCTTTTGACCAGGACCAGTTTTACTTTCTCTGTCCTCTGGAATGAGTTGCTTCAGTTTCCCAATGTGTTAAACTGAGAATGAAATGCTTTCACACATCATGTAAGCACTGAGAGGATGCACAGGTATCAGTCGCTGAGCATCCTGGAAATGAAAATCATTCTCTGAATACTAAAAACTACTACTTTGCATTGCAGTGATGGAGAACTCAGCTGGATTTCTGAATAGTGAAGTTCAGACCCCCAAAGAGATCAGTAGTGCTTGCATCTACAGAAAAGCTGATGCATGCCACCCGCATATTGCTGACAAACCATGAAGAAAGCCTACAAATGGGATGTCCAAACGAAATACTGGTCTGGACTCTGAGATGCAGAGAAAAAGGAACCGATAAAGTCACTGGAAAGGAAAGTCAATAAATTTGCCACACCTGTGATAGGATCCAGAAGAATCCCAAGTTTAACTATATTAATGCTACCGAGTGGTGCAAGAGGAGTTGGATATATAGCTCTTGTCTCGGGACAGGGGACAATCATCCATCAGCACCACCAATGCAGTCTGCTCCACGTCCAGGCGTAAGGCCTGTTTGGAGCAGGACCATGACACCAGTTAGAGCTTGAGACAGCTCCTGTTGGACTGAATGGTAAGTTTGTTGGTCTTCAGAATGAAAGATACTGATAGAGTTCTGCAGGATTATGAAAAATGGGAATCCACCCTGCCCATGTATTATTTCTAACAGATCCACTTGGATATATGATTATTAAGATATTGTAGACATGAATATGCTATGCTAAACACAGAGATACATTAAATTTATATACTACATATCTGAAGAGTTAAATAAGTAATATTTTATGCTTTCAATGATCATAGCATTATTTTTAAAGGGACCTATACATATATTTATGCAGCTAGGTAATGGTTTGTGATCTCTTGGAATTATAAAAACCAACTTGGCAGAAGAGAGAAAGCTTACATTTGAAAGATGTTAATAAATAATTACTAAATGAATTCATTAAAATAGAAAGTAATCAGAGATGATAAAGAACTTTAAGAATGGAAAAGCACACATTGTTCAAGTTAGAGTCCCTGTAGATACTGCACATAAAGCCTGAATATTCACACATTTGTACTAGAAAGTAAAAGCATTGAACGTGAATATTTTCAAGTCCACGTCTGCCTAAATTTGGCAAAAATGAGTTAATTCCTGTTTCATCTAACAAGAAATTGGCATGGTGGAGAACAATGAAACCTCTGAAGAACAAATATCTGGAATTGGCAGCCAGAGAGGCAAGAAGAAAAATCTTGAACACCTGGAATAGTTTTTAAAGCTCCTTTTTCTTTCAAGTAGAATACAGAAAGAACAAAATGTTTCACATGAAATCTTTGGGTCTGGAAAAAAATAGAAGAACAATAAAATCCCTTTAAGGATAACTATATTCTAACACAGTATGTAGTGTAAAACAACTACTTCTATTAGTCTCTAGTTTGGGAGTTTGTTGGAGCAACTTTGTCATCCATGAAAATAGCCACACAATCTCGGAGAAGCATCCTCCTTCCCTCCTTTGGCAACAGTTGCCGTCTGAATCACCTTCTGGTTTTGCCACGTTATTGCTCTGCCCAAATAACGCGGATGCATTCTCCTGCCAACTGTGCTTTTGGGGATTGCTCTCCATCACCAACACTAAGTTACCACCACATTTCCACCAGCCCTTACCACAAGTTATATACCTGCTCCGTATTACTTTTTATGGGTATAACTCCCTATATGATTCTCCGTGCTAGCCCTTGGACGCCTCATTTGTTTGGCCTGCAACTGCCAGTTGCGTCTGTGGTGTTTTATGACAGCTGCCAAGTTGTATTTCTGTTGGATGCATAAGAACACCCATGTGTGCAAACATGGATTTGTTTGTATGCCCCAGCTCGTACCCATGGAAGGTTTCCACCATGGACATCATCAGCCACGTGGCTCAGATCTGCT